AAGACAAACATTTTCCTAAATATTGTTAATGCCTTAACTCCCAAGATCTGATTGTTAATTCTCCCTTCTAGCTGCCACACTTTTCCATATAAATTAGTTATGAGAACTGGATGTTAGATCAAGATAGCAACTTCTGCTTGATGAGTTTGTGTATTCTCATTTCCTGTTTACTGGATAATGTATGGATATTATTGAGAGAAGTTACTCATTAATCTCTTGTGGGAGTTAAAGGATTAAAACTAATGTGAGTATTTTTCACCAATTTTCTGAGTATCAAGCTAAAATATTTCCTAAGGCTTTTTTTTTCCTGGTAACTAAACTTCCTTTTGTGAAGACCATTTTATAATTTGGGTTTCGTAGTGGGAGCTTTGAAAAGATTTAGGCTTGGAGTATTGTAATGTGAAAAATGTTAATGCTTAGGGATATTCTTAAAGTACTAAAGGACTCATTGAAAGTTTTTTGTTATCTTTCACTTATTTTTATGTTGCTCCCACTGAGTTATAGCAGATTATTTTCTGAGATAGCAGGTTACAAGTACTCTTAACACAGCCCTTATTATCTAACAAAGTGTGATATTGATTGTCTAATGTTGTTACAGATGGGTGGAGCAAGATCCAAAGGAAATTTTGTCATCTGTGTATCATTGTATGGAGCAGACACTTCACAGCTGCAAAGACTTGAAAATCAACCCAGCTGATATCAAAGGTGATCAACATAAATATTCACATTATATATCCTTGGTTATGCAGCAAACTCAGACTATTTTGACCTCTGATTTTATCCTTATCTCAGTGGCAGAGGGATGGTATGACCCTTTGAACTCTAAGAGTGACTATATCTAATTTCTCTACATAATGTCACCCCTAAATAAAAAAAAACATGGTCGCAAGAATAAAGGAAATGAGCACCAACTAAACAAGCTCTTGATTTCTTTGATTTTTTCCGGGCCTTATTTCAACTACTAGTTCATTAGTGTTCATAGCTGTGAGGATCGTTTCTATATTCATTTCTTCAACTGCAGCACACATATATGATTTTCATATATTTACAGCCATTATTCACCACTTGGAAGGTTTATTCAGATCCAATGTAATGACCAGCTCCCAGTTGGCTTGTTAGCTCAGTTGGTAGAGTACTGCACCGGTATTGCAGAGGTTATGGGTTCAAATCCCATATAGGCCTGAATTTTTTTCATGCCTTGTTTCAGCTACTAGTTCATTAGTGTTCATAGCTGCGAGGATTGCTTCTATATTTGTTTCTTCAGCTGCAGCACACATATATGATTTTCATATATTTACAGTCATTATTCAAGCTCTTGATTGTCAAACAAATTCTCCTTTTCATCACCTAAGGAAATGTACAGAGAACAGTATGGAGAATGTACATACTGAGTTTAGGGTGTAAAGGGAGAATGTTTTTCTTATCTTGTCATGAGTGTGGGACAATGAAAAAATTTTGAGTCCTTGTGAGAAATGGAACCTCAGACATTGGGACACAGCCCTCTGACACTCTAGCACTGAGCCACAGAGACTCTATAGTGATAAACATCGTTGCAAAGTTGTAGTTGTATTTATTTTCTCCTTAACCTTGTAAACCCTAAGAATGACTAGCATCTAATTTCTCCTTACAATATCACCTCTGAATCATACATTGAGATCATGAGAATAAAGGAAATGATCATCAGCTAACAAAGCTGTTAATTGTTAAACAAATTCTCCTTGGTAGCACCTTAAGAAATGCACGGTAGCAGTGTAGAGAACATGCATAGTGATTGATGTTAGAATGTAAAGGGTTAATCAAATTTCTCTAACAGTTTGGCTTTGTCCTTACCTCTGAGTTGAGAGAGGAACCTTGAGAGTTCATTTTTTCAGAAAGAAAAATATGGCACTAGCCTGGGCCTAAAACTTTGGTGTGGAGTCCAGGGGCCAGTTTCTTAGGAGTCCCAGTAACTGAATGTACTACACCCTAACATCAGTATGCATATTCTCCATACTGCTCTTTATACATTTCCTAAGGTACTGAAAAGGAGAATTTGTTTACCATCAAAAGCTTCTTGATCATTTCCTTTATTCTTGTGACCTTAACATGTGATTCAGGGTTGATATTGTAAGAAGAAATTTGATGCTAGTCACTTTTAGGGTTTAAGGGTTAACAGGCCTGAAGCCCTTTTTTAAAAGCAAAATTTAAAGAAGAAAGAAGAAGGTTCTTGCACCCTGACCAGATCTTCTTGTTTCTTTAGTTTATAGTTCTATTGTATAATAATTTTAAAAAGTTTTGAAACCCCTATCTTGACTGAAAAAAGAACAGCTTTACTGGCCTGTAAAGTTACGGCAAATTTGAGAAATAGGCCCCTAAACACTAAGTATTTTATTGCATTGACTGCCTTCATGGAACTTTACTATTACTTTGTGAAACAAAACAAATTTTGTTCCTTGTGATAGTAATAAAACTAATGTGGAAGGTAAGACAATGATTGAGCACTGTGTTCTCCAGCTAAGTGGAAGAAGGATTTATTCCTAATCACTAAACTTGAATGCCTTTTTCGCATTTATATGAATTTTCATATTGACATGTGGCTCTGGGAGTGATATATTTCTTATTAAAATTCTTAATTTCTTATTCTGTTTTATTTTTTACAGCTGTTGGAATTACAAATCAGAGAGAAACAACAGTGGTTTGGGACAAGGTCACTGGGGAACCACTTCACAATGCTATAAGTTAGTATGAATGCTTTATAAATTAATCTGTTGTTCCAGAATTCCATGTGACATTTCACAAAACATTTTCTGTATTTCCACCATGTCAGGAAATTACCTTTGGACTTCCAATTTTCTGAGATGTTTTAAGCTATGGAAAAGCACCTTCCCTTAAAATTCCATTTTGGTCTTTCATTAGTTTGGAAGTGGAGGGGAACAACTCTTTGATGTGCATCTGTCGTCTTCAGCTAGTGGCAATTGCATTAACTTCTTTAAGTCTATTAACCCTTTAACTCCCATGAGTGACCAATGCAGAATTTCTCCTTACAATAACAATACAATATCAACCAGATAAGTGACAAGAATAGAGAAAAATATCAATTTGGGGATAATATGGTGATCCAATAATAAATTCTCTGAACTAACACTGTAAGAATTGTGTGGTTGACGGTAAGGAGAATGACAAATTTGATCTGGGAGTTAAAGGGTTAACCCTTTGACTCCCAGAAGTGATTAACATGTAACTTCTCCTTGTAGAATACAGGTTATGAGAATATTCAAAGTTATCAGGTATAAGCCGTCATCCTGATCTTACACCAAACTCTTCTAACTAATTTACAATGAAATGTGCAGTAGCTAGAGGGGAGAATTAATGATCAGATCTTGGGAATAAAAGTGTTGAAGACAATTGATGGTGTAAATAGTGTTTACTTTTGTCAACAAAGTACAAATTTATATGAATTTATCTAAATTTGCAGTTTGGCTTGACACAAGGACAAAATCAACTGTGGATCAGTTTGAAGCAAACACCCCAGAAAAGACCAGAGAACATGTCAGAGTAAGTATATTTTGGAGGTGGGGGAGGGGGGGGAATAATTTGGTTTCATCAACTAAGTTGATGATGTTAATTGGCCACCATAAAGAGTTTCTACCAAACCAAATTTTTGGAAGAAGTGATTTTTTGTAATGTAAGTGAGCTGATTATACATAGACTCATACATTTTTCTCCTTCAATATTTCCATCAATTTAATTAAAGATGAGTATTATTCTTTCCAGAATTTGGTGTTGTAAATGAAATTTGTGATGAGTGCTAAACTCTTCCAACAACTAGCTGTTATCAAGAAAAAATTAATAAATTTTAGAAAGCATTTGATATCCCACCACCTACAGTAACTACAGGTTTTTATGTCCAAATCCACCATTTGAAGAGTTGGTTTTTGTTCAAAAAGAAAAACCAGAGATTCTGGGGGAAAACCTTTTGAGTAAGAACAAGAAAGAACTACAAAATTTAACTTAACATGATGCCAGGTCTGGCAATTAAACCCAGGTGACATTACTTAGAAACAAGCACACTGACATATACCTTTGCCTGGTTTACCTCAGGCTTGTATGTAAATTTGAATTTTGTTTCAGAAATGATTTTGCTGTGGTTAATTTTATTTTATTGTAGGCATTGTGTGGCCTTCCTATCAACACTTACTTCAGTGCAGTGAAGTTAAAGTGGTTGATTGACAATGTTGAGGCAGTGAAAAAGGCTGTGGAAGAAGACAGGTGTCTGTTTGGAACTGTGGACTCATGGCTGATTTGGGTAAGTCTAGGTTTCCATTATCTGGGGGTCCTGCATTCAGTAGATGTGATTTAATAGGGCCATTGTTCTCAAATAATAATTATTGATTATTTTTTTTCTTCAGAACATGACTGGTGGTAAAAAAGGGGGCTTGCATATCACTGACATCACAAATGCCTCACGGACCATGCTTCTCAACCTGAAGACGCAAAGTTGGGATCCATACTTGTGCAAGTATGTGTGGTATTTTTCACCTACAGGGTTGTTATTCATGAAACTGCAAGAATCTGCTGAGTTTTTCTGGTAGAAGAATTCAAAGAAAATTCATCATATTAAAACGGTATTGAGTCCCATTTGAGTGACACACAGTAATGGTTACATATTCTAGGAATACTTGCAGAAGCACTATTACTGTCGAGTAGCATTCACTTATGTATTAGCATCAACCAACTTTTTTTCTTTCTAACTTGTTACATTTTATTGATTGTTGTTTTCAGATTCTTCAGCATTCCAATGTCAGTTTTACCAACTGTGAAAAGTTCCTCAGAAATATATGGGAAACTTGTAAGACAATTAAAGTAACATTGATTATTAAAACCCAAATT